ATGCCCTGCGAGCTGTGGTCCCCGGCGAAATCTTTCCCGGGTATGCTCCCTTCCCTTAAGCTGATGAGATGTCCGATAACCATGTGCGTAGCGCGAACATGGGTGTCTACAAGCCTTTTCGTGGTGAACCCCTTGGTGCGCCGTTCGTGATGCATTGCAAACATCATGATTACCGGCCTGCTATTCCATCGAGCACTTCATATATCTCCAGAAAAGCTTATGCTGGATCTCACACTTCGCGACCCTTTCATCCTTCCAAGATGAAAACGGAGAAGTTGGGCTGAATGCCAGACAGCCACGCACCCACGAGTCCCTTAAGCTAGCTTAGACAGTCGGGACCGAGGTTAACCTGGAATTACTTATCGAAACCCACCGCCATGAGGGTCTGCGACGCCCGACCCCGAGCGCATCGGATGAGAAGCAAGTCGGGGAAAGCAATAGTCCGCTGGATCATCGTTAATGTATCACTACCCGGACATTGGTCGTGTGCGTTGTGCAGGCAAGAATCACGGGCACGCTGAATGCATGTGAGGCTCATTGAGCATTGTCACAGGGGCATCATTGGAAGACATTTGGCGGAGCGATTTAGAATAAGTAGAGAACACTGCCAGCGGTGATGTACAAGCTAAAGCTGATGTGGGGTCTCGCTCGCATACTCCAGCCACTAGAGACGCTTCGCTCTTTGCACAAGAGCTGGAGACCTTTTCGAGGGTGAGCAAGTGCGGCTTAGCGGATGAATATGTCGAGCACGTCATCGTCTCGAATCGTGTTGCGCATGCGCACGGCCACTTCTGCAATTTTGGGGGACTGCGAGGGATCAATATTTTAATCAGCGTCCTGATGCTGAGACGGAGAGTTTGGAGATCGGTACGTACGTATATGTCCTTTTTCGTCTCAGGTGCATATCGCGGCCACTCTGAAAGAACCGTGTGGCCGCGCCACATGTGGACCGCTGCAGCTGGCCGGGCAGAGATACCCGGGAGGAGCAGGTAGCCAGGTGCGCGGGAGACCCAGATTGCGTCAATGCTGCCGAGCTGCGTTCACGACCCTCGCACATCGTCTTTGGCGAGGGCACGGGTAAATTGTCGTGTTCACCAGCTTCGCTTGCACAGCTCGGGACCGGTTGTGTGCGAAGGGCGCCGTGCGCAGTCTGTGTATGTTCGTGCACATGAGAAGAAGCTGCAGAAGAGGTCGGACTGCGGACAGCGTGGTCTGCCGGGGGTGGTTGATGTTCGCACGGCGATATCCGTACGCTGTGCATGACCGCATCATGTGTGACTATGGCTAACGACTGTTCCGGGCGCAGTTGAGATGTGAAGAGACTGCTTCTAGCTGCTTCTTGGCTTGTGAGCTTGAGTTGGAGACAGTATTGATAGTCCCGTCAGGCAAATTCATTTTGCGATCCGCTCTCGTCGTGAGCGGCGATGGGGACGTCAAAAGTATACTGGAATATGCCTAGGCAGCAATATGTGTTATCCTAGCCAGCATGGCAGCGGATGCAGGTCGCGGAGAGTCATATGCACGCTCTGCGATAGCAAGGCCGGGTTACCGCTTCGGGCGTCGGACACCCCGGGATTAGTGCAGAGACGCCCAGGAACGCATTGATCGCAGACAGGTGATTGGGCGCACCTCGGTCTGTCTCCCAAAGGCGGCCATGACCACGCGCCTAATCTTATTATTGTGAATCACAATAGCATAGGTGCAGACATGCGCTGCTATCCCGACACCACCCACGGCCCCCTCTTGTCGCTCTCCTCCACCTCCTCACCTCCTCGTAGGCCAAACCATATTTTTAACGGCCCAATCCGCGCCAAAATTCAGCCTACTGACCCTCTGCCGCAGACACGCCCCTTCGCACTTATCCCAGGCTGTTATCGGTGCACGCGATTTTGCGTTTTGCACCGTATTCAGGTTGCTCGCGACGCCGCAGTCGCTGGAGCAGTGTACAATACCCATATGTGCGCCACCCGATACCTCCATTTTACAAGACCCTCGTGCTAAACTTCAATGTTTGATTCGCAGATCGTCGCGCTTTGCGCACAGTGCGAGGCGTATTAACTTACCGAGCTAAAACGTATCTTTTTTAAAATCGATTGCAACGCGTTCAGGTGCGCTACCCGTGTTTTGCTGTGGTTTTGACGTGTCACTCATAATTTCTCCCTCTTACGCCAGGCACCTTCATGGAGTTCCAGGAATCGCAGCTCGTACAAGGCCGAGCCGTCTCGGGAGGAGACGCATTTTCGTCAACCACAGTATGTGCTCAATCATCTGGGAATCACATTGAGATGCTCATTGCTTACAGCAAGGCTACTACAAGCGTGGAGTACTCAAGGCGCCACCCAAGCACTTCGTAGTCGAGGTTCTCCCACATAGGAAACTTGGTATGTTGGCAAGCGTCCCCCCTATCTCAGCAGTGCGTTAATAATCGAAACAGGCAGCGCACATGCCTATGGCATGCGTATTTACCCAATAAACGCTGCCGGAGTACCTCTAGGAGACACTATGTCTATGAGGACGAGCACTTCGTCGTCTTCATCCAGCTCGAGCGGTAGCACCACAAGCCGTTCTCCGTATGAGATATGGCGTCGCTGGGAAGACTGCCTATGGTTTCAAGAGCAGCTCGAGGGAGAGTACAGGCTACTCGCTCAGCAAAAGCGTACACGCCTGCAGCGGGGAAAGGGTGTCAAGAAGGATGGGATCTACGTCCACTCGGATCAGGCCGCCTCGTTTGAGTCGCTCCCGCCCGGCCCCGATGCCAACGACATAGCAAAAGACATTCATAGTATCCTACCGAAACTCTCGAAGAAGGGGACGTTCTTCAAGGCGAGCAAGGACTTTATCGACCAGCGCCAGCGCGAGTTCAAGGCGTTGATCGAGAAGCTCTGGGATGACGATGAGCTGCCGACGCTCGTTAAGGAAATGCGCGAGATAAGGGAGATCCGCGACTTCTTCGGCTACTGGAACCGCGACAGGGACCGCGAACGCAAGGTCGCTTCTTTGACCGTGCAGGACAAGGGCAAGGCCCGCATGTCAGTGTCGTCACTGGCGAGCAGCATGTTCTCGCGGCCGGACCCCGAGTTCGTTTCCTACCCGTCGAGTCCCTTCTCAGCATCGTCGCTGTCGCTCAACAGACACTCGCGCCCAACGTCGCCTGTGGGCTCTGTCAGCACCGTGGGCGCTAGTGGCCAGTCCTCGGTCTCGGCCTCCACAAGACGTCCACGCGCTGCATCCGCCCCGAAGCCTTCCCCTCTCAAGTCGTACGCCGTCCCGCCCTCGCCCGCCTCGATCGCAGCGAAGGCACGCTCCTCCACGCTCTCCGTCCCCACCTCGATCTCGTCGCGCTCGCTCTGGACGCCTCACGCGCCCGCAGCGAACAGCACAGCGTCGCACATCAGCTTCACCGTCGCCGAGGACGGCGTGCTCGTGCCCGCGGCGCCGTGGGGTGCCGACGACGGCGACGACCCGCTCGCGTCCTCCTTCCTCGTCTTCTCCACCGCTGCCGAGTCCAAGGCCAAGGCGACGCACGCCGCGCTCGAGGTCCTCCGCGAAGAGTCCGAGTTCGACGTCGACGCACCGGTACCCGATACGCCGATGCCCGCACCCCCGTGCACCGCGCCCCCGTGTACCGCGCCGACGCGCCGCCCGCGCAACCTGTCGTGTCCCGACCCTGGCTTCCGGCACGGCCTGGTGTGGCCGCACTGCGCACTGCGCCCGTCGAGTGTGCTTAGCGAGCCGTCCTTGGACTCGTCGAGCCCGACGTCGCCGACGGACAGCGAGGTGTCAGACCGCTGGGAGGACGCGCTCGACGGCGGTGCGGACGGGACGAGCGACACGGGGCCGCACCGACGTGCGTCCCTGCGCGAGCCGGCACGCTGCGGGGGCCCCAGCCGGCCGCACACGATGTACAGCACATTCAGTACGTGCTCGGAGCAGGAGAGCTTCTTCGACGCGTTCGGTCTCGACGATGCGGGGTTCGACGCGGACGACGTCCTTGGCGACGGCGCGCGACACATGCGGGCGTCGGTCGCGACGATGAACTCGGTGATGACGGACGCGAGCGTCGACGCCGTGCTCCCGAGGCGCGGGAGCGTGCTCGTGCAGGACCGGCCGGGCTCGCCTACGCCGTCGTCGACGGGCTCGAGCTCGTCGGACCACACGCACATGTGCTCGTCGTCGCCCACCTCGTCCTCGTCGCCGTCCCTCCGGACGCCGAGCATGGACACGATGCGGTCGTTGTCGAACGGCAGCCAGAAGTACAGGCTCAGCATCGCGATGCCCGACTCGCCGCTGTTCCCGCCGTCGGAGGAGGAGGGCCAGTGGGGCGAGGACGGCCCGGACGAGGACTTCGTCGACTCATATTTCTACGGTGCGCACTCCCTCGTGTCGTACGTGGCGGTACAGACTCCTGACCGAAATTTTACACATTTACAGACCCCGCCCAGCACCCACTCCGGCCAGGCTCCGAGACCCCGCATCGCGCGCGCGTCTCGCAGACCATCTCCGTCATCTCGACGCCCGAACACTTCCCGAAGCCCTTCCAGCACCGTCCGCCGGGGCAGTTCCACCTGCCGTGGTCGCCCGCGTGCGCGTCCTCCGCGTCGTACTCGTCCGCGGGCGCCACCCCCGCCTCGCCCACGAGCACCGCGAGCGTTATGAGCGACGCCCCAGGCGCGGAGCACTTCACGGTCAAGGCCGTGCGCCAGGACAGCATCGTGCTCCTGCGCGCGACGCACGCGATGCCGCTCGCCCAGGTACGCGCACGCCTGCGCGACAAGTTCGCCGCACAGGAGGGCGTGCGGCTCACGGACGCGTTCACGATCGGCTTCAGTCCCGCCGGCGCCGCCAGCGGCGAGCGCCCGCGCTCGCAGTCTGCGTCTGGCCCACGCGACGGTCGCCAGCAGCAGCAGCGCCTGCAGTTTATCACGTCTGACGAGGACTGGGAGCAGGCTGCCGCCGGCAGCGCGGGCAAGCTTACTATTCATATCTTCGACCGGTTCTGATTTTTTTTTCGCCATTTCTTGCTTTTTTGGCGAGACGCGCATATACCCACCCTCCTTCGTTATGTGCTGTTGTAGAGACACTGCACAGTCTATCTCACACACTCACTTCATTCTTCGAGTTATCGTCTTCGTGTTACCCCCGCTGTTCTCTTCCCCTTACGACCCTTTACGACCCTTAACAACCTTCGCATTTCTCGCCGCGCCTTTTACGGGCTGCTGTTGTTTTGACTAACCCTGTAATACGCAGCGCAGCGCCCCATGTATTCGCTTCGTTTTTCAATTGCTTGTTGCTGCAGACTCTTTGGCTTCTTGACTTTGCGAATTCCGCACCATGTTGTGTTATCAATTCGCTGCTCTCTACAGACTTCGCTCGCTCCCGGGATATTAGGACCCTCAGCGCCGTCTTACTCTTTCCTAATCGTATACAAAAGTATGGCTTGCATAGTACTAGACGGCTGGCTTCCTGTGTAGGTTGCCGGGTATCGTGACATGCTTGGGCATCCGAACTATACACACTAGACCTGACTCAGACCACCTGAGCTTGAGGGGACGCAAAGTCGATGTGCATGACCGGCTCTGGCTGAAGCTGAAGCTGGGACGCAGGCGCAACAACATGTCTGATGGTTGCAGGAGGTGCACCGGCGGGCAGCGGGCTCCGCGTCCAGTCCGGAAGAATGTTCCGTGCGGCAGAACGCGGGGCGGTGGGCGAGACGTCCATGGCGTCATCGTCCTCCACATGCGCCGCGTCCGCCTCGTCCCACTTCTCGCGTACGACCTCGGCGCCCCCGGTCTTGAGTGCCCTGTACAGGAAAAGGAAGAAAGAAAACGCACATGGGCGGCGTGTCAGCTGCCTTCTGCGTCTGAATAGGAAGTTGGATGGCGGCGACGTACCCGGCAAGAGAGCCGCCGACCCATGCCATGCAGGCCGGGGTGAAAGCCGGAGCCTTGCCCGCGTTCGCAACTGCGCGCGACGACGCTGGTGGCGGCGGCGTCGGGTTGTTGAGGATCGCAAGGTACGTCGCAAGCGGCCGCAGTGGGGCGTAACAGTCATATGCCGTTGAGTAAGGCTTACCGCGCCTGCCGGGTGTCGACGCCGGCGAGGTTTGTCGTGTGAGGGTACGCAGGAGCTCAGCTTGCAGGCGTGGGATGAACCCTGGGAGCATGGGGGTGCCGCCCGCGACGAGGATCGCAGACGCGAGGGACTTCCGGAGATCCACCGGCACCTAAAGGGGTGAAAAGGTACGAAAGTCAATCCGAACCCTGCTTGAAGTGCGTGGTGATCTCCGTGGGAGATACATAGTAGCGGGCGTGCAGGGGTAGCTTCGAATGGGGTGCTGCTTACCTTGAGAAGCGAGTCGAGAATTACTTCCGCAACGCTGCTTTCGTCCACGTCTCCTCCTTCAAAGAGAACCTCAGCTGCTCTCTCTCGAATCCACCCGGGTATGACGAGTGTGCCGCGCCCCGTGCCCTGCTGCTGCGACGGAGGCGGCTCTATGCGGATATGCAGATCTGTGGCGGTAGAATGACGTTGGTAAAGATTCGCGAGTGCTTGCAAATGGCTCTCTCCGGGTTTCGGGCGATCGAGACTAGACAGTACGTTCGAGTGCGAAACCACGGAGAATTCGGAGGAGGGTGGCACGCCTTGTTGTGATTCGGGGGCGTTGCTGGTGGACGCCTGGCCCTGGCTCTGACTTTCACTTGGTACATTGCCAGACACCATAGTGAAGCCGGATTCAGACATACCCGCATCCGAGCGTGTGATTTCGGATGGTGTGTCATACTCGTACGCTGCTGGATAGGCCGGTCTTATGTCTGTCTCCAGAGCTTCGCCCACAAAACAACAGCGGATCTTTAGGTCTTCAATGACGGCATTGGTGAGGAGTGCTTCGGGTACACGTGTAGCGCGCGAGGATGTAGGGGTAGAGTTGGTAGATGTTAAGCTTGCCGGAGGCGGATGATATGTCCCGAACATCAGGAGTAGGGCCCGAAGGTGAGAAGAGAATCGTGAGCCGGCCAAAGGCGATGCCCGCAGTTGGGGGAATAGTGGCCTAGAAGAGTATATCTACCCTACTTTAGACGTGAACTTTCAAAGCGTAAAGACAACTCACTGGGAGAGCAATAGACTCCAAGTGTCCGCAATCGAGGACAAGTCCTGTTGTTCGTCCCGCTGCTAACAGTGCCAAGAGGTGACTTGAAGCAAATGATATCGAAGGAACCTTATACGTGTCTCAGACCAGACTACTGTGAAATCGTCATCATACATACCTGCAAGTTATTGAATAAGATGCGTGCAAGTGCCTCCTTGATGTGCAATGGCAGTAGCGGTTGCTCGACGATAATCACCTTTCGCGACTTCGGATCCGTTAAGAGAGAGCTTGCCAGGAGGGAAATCAGGCGAACGTGATGCATGGGCAGGAGTATAACAGGCGTACTCGTGGAATACGGCTCTAAGGCACTTCTGAAGCCTAGCTTCAAGCAACTTGTCTTCTTCCTCTTTCTCGCCGGGAACAGTTGCCCTATTCAGCGTCCAGAGAGGTCGGCCAGTGTCGGATCCAGCAAGAAATATATCTCGTGGCTTGCCTTCGCCACTAAAGCCTACCTTCCAGATGCGAGAGCCAGGGTCGAGGATGATGCGGTCTTCCGTTCCATAGAGAGAGTGTCGACGAGTGGTTGCGTAGTGTGGAGAAGACTGGATGATATTTGTCGTAGTTGAGGTACGAGTCGACTGGGGAGTTGTTAGGGGACTAGTCGACTCGAAATTCGTTGATCTCCTCGGTGTCCCGGCCGGTGTCGCGGACATGCCTCGGTGTTGTACAGCCCTCGCGCCAAAGCTGGAGGCAGTTTCTAGACTTTATGCCTTCAAGCTCTCTGCATATATGTGCACATTTTTGAGCAAATCGCGCCGAGAAGAATGCACGGATGTTCGCGCACCAGTTGAGTTCGGCGTTCTCAGCTGTGACACTCCGATTCTTCGTCCCAGAAGATTCTAATGGCAGTGCCTACTTTTCGCGCGTGTACGGAAATTTCTGGAGCAACAATACTATGTCGAGATGGTAGATGCGCTGGGTGAGAAAGCATGAAGCGAAGGTATGCCAGGTCGCGTCACACTCGGCGAGGAATGCTGTTACGCTACTGCTCACGTGGCATCTGTCACTGACTCTCTGTCACGCTACGCGTCTTGGGCCATTGATCATGACTGGTGCAGCGACGACGGGGCAAAGACCTTCAAGGTCTCTTTCACACTCTTTAACCTTTCTCTCTCATTCTAGACATGATGAGGGCTATAATAGCGACTTTAATACTTTCTGCTTTCTGTGGCATGGCGCAGGCGTTCATGTACACAGCGAGTAGTTTACTACCAGGCTAACACGCATGCTTGCTGATCATTTGTGAGCCAGGTTACTGTCGGAATTGATGATTCGAATGGTCAGCAAGGCATTGGATTTGACCCTTCTGCTATCAGACCTTCTCGTGAGTCTCAGCAAGAAATACGGCCAAGCTCTGCTGACTTCATACACAAGCCGGAGACGCCGTCACCTTCACCTTTGCACTTCCCAAGGATTTGAATGCCCGGCCGCCGGCTCAACATAGCGCGACCCGTGAGTGCAAACATGAACTCATACTTCTGCAAACTCAGCTGACCGTACAGAATCAACGTTTGATAACCCATGCACACCGATGCCTGGTGGTTTCGACACTGGTGTACATGAGACCGGATGGGCTCCTTCAAACACAAGTGGCAGCTACAGCCTTGTCGTGAACGATACTCGGCCTCTTTGGTGCGCACGGATATTCTGTATCTTTCACCCCCTCAATTTCTTGTCGAACTAGGTTCTTCTCCTCAGTTGGCGACGACTGCAAGAACGGCATGGTCCTGGCCGTCAACCCACCGCTATCTGGCGATCGAACCGCTGACATGTTCAAGCAGAGCGCTATGTTTGGCACCGGCACTCTGCCGTCTCCGTCTTTCCCTGGATCTTCTCTGACCTCCAGCCAGGCACCGTCAACACAACCTCTGCCGCACCTACTATGACCAGCCCACCGTCCCC